TTTCTGGGCCGAGGATGCCCTTTTCTCCACGCATTAAAATAAAGTTGCCGCTTTCTTGGGCGCGCCCTCTAAACTAACCTCGCTTTATTTTACATGTGCACCGAAATGTGCCCACCAAAGCGCGCGATTATGCCCACGCCAGGCCGCGTCAGGACAGCAGGTTTCTCTCTCTGCAGACCGCGCCAAGCGCTTCCAGCAGCAGCAAGTACTTCTCGTTTCCGCCGCTTTCCAGAAGCAAAGCCTTCATCTCCTCGTTGTATCCTGCGTACGCCAGTGCCCTGTTCGGAATGGACATGTTCGGGAGCGAAATCTCTTTCACATACTCCCTATAATGGGCTAGCTCCACAACATGGTATGCATGCAGCGCAGCCTCGTGGCATATCTTTCTGCTTATGGAAAGCAGGCACATCAGCCACATAAAAACAAGCGTTCGGACAGTGCCCTGGGCCTTCTCCAGGCCCTCCCCCGAATGCCCTTCCAGAGCCAGCTGTGTCAGCTCCTGTATGGCGCGCGCGGGGCTCTTCAAGAACAAACTGCACTCAATTTCGTTGACTCCCCAGAACCTGGCCACCCGCGGACACGCAAGCAGCGGCTGCTTTGCCTTCTTCGCATATCCCCGCAGGTGGTCCATAAGCAGCTCGCTCGAAAACACGGAGTCTTCGTTTATCAAGTACAGGGTTTGCGATGTAGGAACCCCATTCATGTCCAGAAGGTGCACATACCGCCCGTGCGACAGCTGCACTGTCGGATACTGCGTCTCCAGCGCGCCGATAAGCGCAGGCAGCGTCAGCATGTCCTCCTGCACCGCCTTTTGGCTGAGATCTGTGCTTCCAATGATGTTCCGGGCCATCCGAGGTATTGGGTGAGAGCCGCACAGCGCAACTTTGTGCTGGTGCGCATGCGCAAGCAGCGCAGAAACAATGTCTTTTTTGAACTCCGGGCGTGCAAAGCCCTGCAGCAGAAACACGCGGTTGAGCTGATCTGGGCCGTGCTCTGCCATTTCCTCCATTGCCTTCTGCATTTCTTTCTGCGCATTGCAAGGCGTATAGGAGTACCCAAGATGCACTTTTGCCATGTTTATGTACTCGGAAAATACAGGGCATGTGAAAGGCGCCTGCTGCTCGTGCTGCTTGTACTGCTCGAACACCCGGTTCATTTCTGGCCCCAATATCATGGAAAGAGACTTGTCTCTAAGCGAACATCCCACTATTGTCACGTGCTCGCCGCTGAAATATAGACTTATGCTGTGGATTTCCTTCAGGAAGCTGTGTGTGCGCATCATCGAAATCGAGTGTCCGGAAAGCCCGGTAACGTCGTGCAGGTTTTCCGCAATGGACATTGTGTCAATACTACCCACAGCCAGCGAGCGCAGGAGCGCAAAAACCTTCTCCTGCGCGTCGGCATCGAGGTTTCCTTGCCCTGCGCGCGCCAAGGCGCTCTGGCACGCCGCCAGCTCGTCCACCACGGCCTGCGGCCGCCCTGTTATCTGCGCAAGCGCGCGCATGGCGCCAAGCAGCCCCGGCTCCGCGCTGCCCAGCACGCGCCCGAACTCTACAACTGCCAGGTTCCAGACTTCTGAGGCCTCTAGCATTGTGCACGTAGAGTTGTTGGGGCCGCTGCCGGAAAGCTTCTCGAGGCGCGCCTCCATCTTCAGGATGAACTCTTGGGTCTGCGCTGCCTCTGCAGTGTCTTCTGCGCCCTCCATCAAAGCCTCAAAGTTGTACATACCCTTCTCTGTGTCGTATGCCAGGAGAAAAAAGAGCGAAAGCACCCCAACGCAGACGCAGGGCATGTTTTGCTGCTCGTTTTCTTGCTTTATCCTTTTGCACCCATTAAAGTCTACCCACTCTCTTCTGTGCAGCTTCTTTTCTTCGCTCTCGAGCATCCCGTTCAAGCCTTGAAGCGCTTCGAAAAGCCGGATAAGCTTTATGTCTTTCTGCGCGCTTAAAAGCGGCGCCAGCAGCGCCTCGGCCGCTGGAAGGCCGCGTGCCGGCACAAACAGCCGGCTGACCACGCTGTCCGGGTCCTCCATGCTTTTGGCCAGCTCCATGCCCTCCATAAGCGTGAACGCACACTCCATCACAGACATAAGTTCCTTGGCGTTTTTCACGTACTCGCCTACGTATGTAAGAATAAGAAGCTGCGGGCTCTCCAGAAAGTCACCCTTCTCAAAGTCCTCGCGCGTGCTCAGCGTTTTGTGAGTGCCTCTGTACTGCTTGAAGAAGTTTACCACCTGCCAAGCCTCGGAAAGCTGTTCTTCCCCGCTATCTAAAGCTGCCCTTCCCATGCGGGCATCCACCAGCACGTCCTCGCTGTCTTTTCTTTTTTTTATAATTACTCTGTTCCCAGAAGTCTCAATCGGCACGTCCACGCCCTCGCTCAGCAGGACCAGCGCTGCCAGCACGTAGTGCGCCTCCTTTTGCGTTCTGCAGCTCTCCCGGAGGAACTCTGTGAAGGAGTGCGGCCGCCCGGTTTCAATTGTCAGCTGCTCGTTCGCGGTCAGCCCAAACATCTGCGCCAGCGTGCGGTGGAACTTCACGCTATACTCTCCTCTCTGTGCAAACTCAACTGCACCCTTAATATCCATTGGAAGGTGCGCCCTGTCCTTGTGCGGCTCCCGCGTGCACACATACTTCTCTTCTTCTGGCGTCTTTGCCTTTCTCCCGCACGTAGGACACTCGGCCCCATTTTCGAACGGGTCTGGCGCCACGCCAAACGCCGTGTCCATTCCGTAGGAGTATGCCCGCATGTTGCGCACATACCCCAGCTCGCCTAGCTTGGTTATGTATGCAGGGTGCCCAACCCACTTCGGGTTCAAGTGCACTCCTTCTCCGCCCACGCTGCCGACTGCAGCCCTCTGGCAGGCTCTTATGTCTCTGCATGTTATTTCTACGCACCCTGCAAGACGGGCTGCTGCGAACAGCGCCCATAAAATTCCAAAGTATAAATCCATATCATAGCAAAAACATTCTCTATTTAAACCCAATATAATAATCAGCTGATTTCAAGCTTAATCTCGAATCACTCTTATCGCCCCATTCGGCATATGGCGTGAAAACAAAAAGCGTGTTGGATGCTGAAAGCATAGTTGCTCGTAATTGGCTATTGCTTATTGGGGTTATTTAAGGAGTCAACACGATCTGGACATTGTGAGACAAATTAAATAATGCCTATTTAAGCAGGTCGAAAAATAATAAAGGACAAAAGTTTCACATGACTACTTCCTGTATTACAACTAAGCGCATGCAGAACTGTCCAGGCCATGGAGCCTTCTCGAGCGCTGCTCCTATGGCCTCGGCTGCAGCGCGAGAAAAACCACACGAAGCATTGGCCCACGCCAACCTATACCAACTGCGCCCATCATGATCTCGGCCATCCACAATGCTTGCAAGATTCTGCAAACTCGCCACACTTCTATTTACGCGCTTCCCCAGGCCTGTATTTCTTGCCTTTTCGCTCTGCTTTCTGCGGCAAGCAAATCCTGCAGCTGTTACAAGTACGCAAGCCTACTTAAAGCCTGGGTTTGGCTGCTCAGGCAACACAAAACTGTGGGCATTCTCTGAATTCTCACTCCAATCGGAGACGCCAAGATCATGGCAAACTTATTTTTGATATGGATGCGTAAGAATTGAAAACAGTAGCGATTGTTTTATAAGCATAGCTACGAGAGCAATTTCAAAAAAGACGCGCAGAAATTCAGAAGTGGAAAGCCAGAGTGAGAGAGAATTTTTTATTTTTTTGTTCTGCAAAATTTTCGGAAAGAAGCCTTCACTTTGGAAAAAACTTTTGGAAAAGTCTTTCCAAGAGCCCCAAAAGCGCCATTGCATGCTGGAAACAGCTGTGCGTGTAGGAAATTATTCAATAAATCTAACTAGTTAAAAAATGCGAATAAAGCAAGGGGGTCTGGCGGCTGCGCCCGGCATTGCGTGGTGAAAAATGCCCAAATTGGGTCGCGGCGCGCTTAGGATGCCAGCTTGTGAAACTGGCAAGCCTCCAACCAGCACTTTCGTAAACTACTTTTGCTTTACATCTGCACAAAAAAACTCTAGCAGCGATTTTTATTATACTGGGCCGCAGTGGATTCTTCTCCTTTGCGCGTGCACAAAACACAAAAGTGCTATGCGCACACACTCTGCCCGGTATCTCTATGGCGCCACCTCTTTACGCTGCACACATGGAACTGCACTTGCTTTTTATCTGCACAAATGCGCTAGGCGAGCTTCCACAGCTTCATGCTGCCCGCGAACTACACCCAAAAAGACGTCTTGTGTGCATCGCAGAGCAGCTGCTGCAATTTTTCAAACGTTTTTGGGTACCCTTCCTCCACAAAAAAATCTTTTGCTTTTTCCAGCTCGTCTATTGCGCTGCCCAGGTCCACACCATTCCAAAACCCGGAAAGGTCGCCAAACACCGTCTCGAGAGACTCCGAGTCAAAGGTTTTGCACATCTTGCGAATGGCGTCCCCCTGCTTCTCCACGCCCGCCTCCAGGAGCAGGATCAGCCAGGACAGCCAGAGCTGCGTGGCCAGAGCTTCTGCCTTCTGCAGATCTTCCCCTGCGCGGCCCGCCAGAACAAGCGCGCAGACCTCTTCTAGCGTTTCCGCCGGGTCCGCTGCAAAAAAATACTCGCAATGCAGGCCTATGCTCAAATGCCCATTTAGCAGCCAGCACTCGAGCAGCGGCTTGCTTTCTCTCTTTTCATACTCCCGAAGATACCGCATCAGGCTTTTCTGCGTAAGTATGTTCGACTTTTCGCAGGAATACACCCCGTCATACCTAGAAAATCTGTTCGATCTCCAAATTTTCTGGTGCGATCTGTCTGAAAGCTGCACCGTTGGGCACAGCGACTGCAGAGTGCCGGTGCCTACAGGCACGGCCAATATCTTGTCCCGCGCCATCCAGTCGCCAAGGTCCGCGCTTCCTATCACGTTTGCAATCAGCCGGCCCACAGGGTGCGCCGCATCCAGCTTAATGCCCTGCTGCTCCGCACATAGCACAAGCGCCGAAACAAGCGTTTCCCTGAAGTACCCGCCCGCAGCCGGCAGCGCCAGCAGCACGCTTGCTGGCCTTCCAGGGCTGCAGTGCACTGCTCTTCTCGCGGCTTCTTGCAGCTCCTTCGTTTTTCCGCGCGAGCAACTGCACGTGCCTCTCCCCATGGAAACCCGGCTTATGTACTCGGCAAGCACAAAGCTCGAAAACTCTGTGTGCTGCCTGTACTGCGCAAGCACCATGTCCAGCTTCTTCTGTGCGCTCTCAGAAAAGCACGAGCATACCAGATCCAGCGTTTCTATTGAAGTGCCCTTTTCGCTGAAAAGCAGCTTCAGAACTTGGCCGCGCGCACCATCTTTGCACAGGCTTTTTACCGTAAGCATGTGCCCCCCGGGCCTAGAGTGCTCCACGTGTTCCTCAATCTTCACCTTCACATTTTTGTCCACTGATATTGAGCGAAGCAGCGCGCGAACGCTCTCGATCGCCTCGGGAGACAGCTTTGCCCTTTTTTCGGCGTCCATTGCCCTCTGGTGCGCCGCCAGCTCGTCCACTACGGCCTTCGGCCGCCCGGTCATCTGCGCAAGCGTGCGCATCTGGTTTAGAAGCGTTGGCTCCAAACTTCCCAGCGCCTGCTGGAACTGTGCGTGCACCATGAGCCACAGATCACTGTAGTTTTGCCCATGCGAGTCGTCCATAAAATTCAAAGAGAAGCTCTGCCGCTCCACATGTGCCTGCAGTTTTCTAAAAAACTCCCGAGTTTGCGCTATCCCCGCCGTGCCTTCTGCTCCGCTTAGCAGCCCCTCCAGCTGGTATGCCTTTTCTTCAGAGTCAAACGCCAGATACGGTAAGAGCAAACACGCGCCAAGGAACTCGCAGGGCGCGCCGCAGTCGTCAAAACACCTTTCCCCGCCCGAGGCGCTGGATCTTTCGCTTTTTTTCGTTGCTTCGGTTTGGAAGAAGACAAACTCTTCCAAGCGCTCCATGGATGCTAGAGCGGGAAGCGCCTCTAAGAACGGGCCCAGAGACTCCTCGGCCTGCGGCATTTGGCTTGCAGGCACAAACAGCCGGCTCACCACGCCGGCAGGGTCCTCCAAGCTGTCTGCCAGCCCCATGCCCTCCAAAATTTCGAGAGCGCACTCCATCACAGACATAAGTTCGTCTGCACTTGCTGCATACTCGCCTATGTACGTGAGAATAAGAAGCAGCGGGCTCTCCAGGAAGGCCCCCGTCTGAAAGTCGCCATAGGTGCACGGCAGCTGGTTTCTGTCTTTGTTCTGCAAGAAGAAGTCTATGACCTGGCGCGTCTCGGACAGAGGCTCTTCCCTGCCGCCCAAGCCAGCCCTCTCCGAATTCTCCAGCACACCCTTGCAGGCCTGTTCCCCTTTTTCAGACACTCTGCTGTCAGTCGCTTTAATCGGCACATCCACGCCCTCGCACAGGAGCAGCAGCGCAGCCAGCGCATAATGCATCTCCCTTGGAGACGGGAAGTCTTTCCTAAGAGTAAACGCAAAAGAGCCTTCTCGCTCGGACTCAATTGCCAGGCGTCCGCTCTTCTGCAGCCCAAACATATGCACCAGTGTCCGGTGGAACTCCACACTATACCCCGCATCGCGCTCAGCCACGCCCAAATACGGCGTGTCCTTCTGCGGCTTTCTGACATATATGTGTATGTCGTTTTCAAGCTGCTTTTTGCTCTTGCCCGGCGCCACGCTAAAGCTCGTGTCCAGCCCGTACGAGCACGCCCGCATGTTGCGCACATAGCCCAGCCGTCCCAGCAGCGCTATATAAAAGGGATGCCCCACCCAGCGCGGGTTCACACACACTTCTTCTCCGTTCACGCGGCCCGCAGGCCTGTTATGGCACGCCAATATGTCTTGGCTCGAGATGCCTATGCACTGCGCCGCGGAAAGCAGCGCGTATAGAAAACAAAAGCCCAATCTCATTTCTAAAGCCCAGTGCTTGCACAGCATATATATGCATTAAAAATGCAAACCAAACACACAAGATAGCCCAATTTGGACCCAAAGGGAAACATGTGATGCTGTTGCCCAGCCCAAACAGACATAGTTTTGTTTGAAATTAGTCTTTTTTGGTGTAGATTGCTTTATTTTGCCATAAACTCGGGCATATTTCTTTGGCCTTTTCTACGAGTCTATTTTCACTACTGTCTATCGCCTGCCTGGCCCGCCCTCTGGTTGGCTGTTTCCCATGGATTTTTCTTCTTTCCATTTTTGCCTTTATCGCCCTTGCGGTTTTTCTGTTCTTCGCAGGCGCCCATATGAGCTTTGGCTATCGACAGCCTCTTTGTCTGCCAAGCAAAGGAAAAACAGGACGCAGAGGCATTCTGCAGAAAAAACCCATGGCACAGAGCCACCAAGCTACGCCTTTTGTTGTTTTGCTTCCAGCACACAGCACTGCCAAAGGTTTACGGCATAAAAATAAATAGCCCAAGCAAAATGCGCATGCAAACAGCCCGAGCACAACTTCATTCAAATCATTTATAGTAAAACAGCCCGGGCCTAGGAAGACTACGCGGATTCGGGTTATTCGATGGCTCCGGTTTGGTACGTGACAAGATGGTAGTTTTCCATCTCTTTCGAGGGGAAGAGCTCAAAAGAGAGCACGGCCTGCACCATATGCAGAGCTTCTTTCCAGCCCAGCCCGACTGTGAGCGAGGCATCGTGCGCCAAAAAGGCTTTGCTGTCCAAGCCAGACACGTGCGGCACTAGTTCGCAGGCATTGTGCAGACTTCTACCACAAATGAAAGAATTCATGGGCAAAACGTCCGTGCAGGGCCTGTTTTCGAATGGCTTCACGGCCTTATCTTGCACATTGCTGAGGAACAGCGGGAAATACACAAGATGTCTGCTCTGCGCCGACCTCCAAAATTCCAACGGAGCAACCCCTGCAAGCATAAGCAGGTCGCTGTTAGAAAAGGCCCTCGGTATGTAGTAGAACACATGAAACTCTTTGCTCTTTTCAAGCATGCTGATGTACCGGGTCTCCTTTGGCTTTCTGTATGTCAGCGCGTGCGTTTCGGGATTGAAGGAAAACACATATATGTCCTCCTTCGGCCTGCCATGCATTTTGGCGATGTAATTTACCACCTCTTCGCACAGTATCCCAGCTTTCACCCGTGGAATTATAACGGGCTTCCGCACTTTTTCTTCATTGTCCACATAGTACACAAACTGCAGCCGCGACATTTTTGTTGAAAAGTTGCAAAAAGTCTTTGCCTTCCAGCTGGGCACGTCCATTTTCACGCCTTTGCAGAACACGCTGCTTTTCTCTTTGTCGATCTGAAAAGCGCTTGTGCACACCTTTTTCGGGAAAAACGCATGCGCTCCTTCAATGGGCAGGCCCCCCTCCATGCCGGAGCATGCGGAGTAGAGCGCGGAAACAGCCTGGTACACCAAAACATATTCAAGAAAGCCTTGCCTGACGGGCGCAGTTGCCAAGTCGACGTTCCAATCATGGATAAGGTTTGCTATGTGCGCGTGCACCCCCTCCAGCTCCTCTAGGAATGTTTTTTCTAAGCAGATACGCGCGCAGCATTCGCATGTGTGCATTCTTATGGCGCACGCGGCCGTGCTGGACAGGCGCTTCAAGAAAAGGAAAAGGGTTGAAGGGTCGCACAGCATAACCCCACACATTTTTATGCAGTTTTTCAGCTTTTCCTCGTTCTCAGGCTTTTTGCATTCGTCTTCCACTGCATTGAAAAAAGACTCCTTCTGGAGCGCGTAAAAATCGCTGAGCACGCCGGGTATCTGGAAGCAAAGCAGCGCAGCCGAAGAAAAGGCAGGCGTCTCCTTGCACAGCTCTAAGGTTTCCCACTGTTTCAGTATAGCTTCTTTTTTGGAAAAGAAATTCTCCTGCAAACAATGGTTGTTTGGGCAAGGCGGCGTAATAAATGGCATCGAAGGCACTTTGGCTCTAAAAGCCCACGCAGCGATGAAGACCTGCCAAATACTGCTTCCAACAAAATGGAACGTTGGATTTAAATAGGAGGCGATTGACGTTCCAGCGGCAGACAAGTAATTATACGCATTTGACAGCTGGCCGCGAGTGCCGGCGCTTTCTTTATCTGGCTGCGCCGCAGCTGGAGGGGGGGTGGGCTCAAAATTACATAGCTTGTCCACACGCTCGAGCCCGCCATCGCCGAAGGCATGCTTTGTGCTCTTCGCGGACAAAGAGCTTTTTTTGCTTGGGCTTCTTTTCGGGCTGCGCTTTTCACAGCTCTCAAGCAAGACCCAAATCGCCAAAAGCCCTGAGAGAATAAAAACCACTAGAAATGCTGTGGCATACCCTGTCTTATTTGCTGCAAGCCTTCGCATCTGTCTTTCCATATATTTTTCAAAATGCGCGTGCTAATATTTGTGCGAGCGCATATCAAAATGATGTCGCCCGGTGCCCTGCCTTTTTGATGCAAGTTTTTGGATTATTGCCATTGCCAAAGAAATAGCCTACACGGCCTGCCCAGCTCGCATGCGCCCGCATCTGCAGCGCCTTGCCACTTCAAAACACAGCATATTGCGTACTTGATTCATTTATTTGTCAAACACATGTCCATGCATGCATACAGGCCTGCGGCCCCTGCAGAAAGTCCATCCAGCCTGCTATTCTAGAAGCAAAGGAGCCGGCGCCGACCCCTGCAGAAGAGGCAACAGCGTTAAAAAACCCCACTTCAGGACTAAAAAGCCAGGCGCCGCACATAAGGTCAGTAACAGAGCCGCTTTGCACCGCGTGCTCAGCTTCTCGGACTTTGGCGGCCTGTCTTCACACTCCTCGGAGATGTTGTCCAGGTCGCTCCAGAATTCAGTGTCCAGCGCCTCTCTTGAAACAAAATGCCCCCACATGACCTTACAGAACACCATGTAGTGCACGCTTTGCTGGTTAGGAAGCCCCGGTATCTTTGCAAATATGCTGCGTACCAGCAGCGCCGCCTCGTTGCGGTTCTTTAAGCATGCATCCTTGTTTTTAGCACAGCACATAAGCTGGTCAAGCAGAACGCTCAGCCTTTCCTGGTCAGTGTGCAGCGGCACCTTGATTTTCCGGAGAGGCTCAAATTCATCCCAAACCTTCTGGGGAGACGTCTGCAGCTTGCGAAATATGTGGGTAAACGCCTTCTTGACCCAGGCGTCGCGCAAATAGCTCACTTCGGGCACTGAGTTATCGGGGGCTTGCGCGTTTACGTCTTCTTCGGGATAGGCGGCCTGCGGCGGCTTCTCTGTGCTGTCGCTTTTGCGTGTTAATAGCATGCCCAAAGGCACCAGGCTGCCCAAACACATAAGCACTACTGCGCATCGGGCAAGATAGAACCACGCTGTTCTTTTTTTTAAGTGCTCGCCTCTTTGATTGCTCTCGCTTGTGTCCATTAAAGTGCATTTTCTTGCACTTATATAGATGAGATCAAAGCGATCAGAAGCTATGTATTGCGTGAAATTATAGTGCATATAAATCAAAATGACAAGAATCTGTCCTCGAACATGCGGCCAAGGAAAAATCTGGGCTTTCCTGCACGCGCCCTGGATGCTGCCGCTCTGCGGGCAGCCTCAAAGCAGAGGGGGTGTGCGGGGTTCGAAAGGACAAACGGCTTGCGCTGCGGCGTCCAGCATATTTTCTCGCCTTGCGATGCTTTACAGCTCTTACCATATGCTCTTTTATTTTATTTTTAATATGTATGTGCCAGAGCCGAGAATTTTGATCTAACATAGGGAAACTCCAAGCCACAGGCCTGGTTGCAACACCCGAATGCTAAGTGAAGCTGCAGCCTTTATTCTTTTTCGGCCTGCTTAAACACTTGTGTGTTTAATTTATCATTGATTATGACTGCTGTCAAAACCAATTTTCATTCCTGTCAAAAGAATAGCCAATCACGAGTAGCTATGTTTACAGCATACAGCAGGCCTGACATCAGTGGCTTGCCATCTTGGAAATGGAGGCCCGGGTGGCGGCGCACGCAAAACACTGCGAATAATAAAAAGCTGCACACTTCGGCGACTTCAGTTTATTTTTATCCCGGCCTGCCACGGGCCATGCGCCGAAGCAAGAGGGATGCTAGCTCTGGGCTGGTCCTGAAGCTGCGCCTTTGCTCGGCCACCGGAGCGCGCCAGCAGGGTGTGCTCACTCCATCAAAATCCGCAGAATCCTGCTGCGGAGGCCAAGCTGACAGCTCTTCTGCCGCCCAAGCAGATCCAGGCGCGCATTCCCTGCGATGTCTTTCCACACGCGCCAAAACAGGTCTTCCAAACCAAACAACTCTACTTGGACGTCGGCCAGGTCTCTGCACAGAATCTGCTTTAGCAGGGCCTTAGCATTTCGGCCTATAAACACGGGGTGGTATGGCGCCTTCTCGGGCTTTCGGGTCAAATACGAAACAAAAAAGCACCCCTTTGCGCAGGGGCGGCTAAAAAACCGAACAGAGGAAAGCGCATAGCTCATGTCTACGTCCAGAGTGTTTGCCGGCCCCATGCTGATGGAGGCCAGCGGATACTGCTCTTGGGAAGCTTGCTTTGTGCACGCCAAAACATGCGGCACGGCGTTGCACATCTTGCGGATGCTTTTCATATTTCCAGAGTGTCCCTTGCCGCCCTGGCTTTCGCGAACCGTATAGTTAGATATCGCTAAGGCGTTGATCATTAGGCTGTTGAGAAACAGCGGCAGGCGCACAACCCCCGCGCCCGGCCCAGAGCTTTCTTCTTCCACCGGCCTAAACTCTACAAGCATGTACTCGGTGTCTTCGGAGATGCTTTCCACTATGTAGTAGAAGACTAGAACCTCGGAAGCGCCTTCTTTGGGGCAGAAGTACGGCGTGCTTTCTGCGTCCTTGTATGCCAGCGCGTGGGTGTAAAGGTTCATCAAAAAAACATGGATGTGGCTTTGCGGCTTTTCGTACAGCTCGGAAATGTATTTTACCACCTCGGCACACGATACTTCGGCGTAGCACTGCGGGATTATAACAGGCTTTCGCGCTTGTTCCTCGTTGTCTACATAGTATACGTGGTGCAGATCACGCTCTTTGAATATTAGCTCTTTTGCAAAACCCGCATATCTGTCGGTTGGCTCTGTTTGCACGCCGCTGTAGAACATCCTCCGCGCCCTTTGGTCCACCCGAAATGTGCTTCTGTGCGCCTCTTTGGGAAAAAGCAAAGGCCCTCCTTCAATTTCTGCGGCCTCTTTCACGCCAGAGCACGCCGTGTACATCAGCAAAAGCCCCTGGAAAATCGTTATAAACTCGAGGTCTGCCCCCTCGAAGCAGTGGCCATGCACCCAGGCGCACGAAATGCTGTTCGTAAGGCTGCGCAGGGTTTCTAGATTTCGCATAAACCTTCTTTCCACATTCGTGTCGCCTTTTTTTTCCTGCAGCTCTAAAACGCTCTTTGCCACGCAGTGCAAATACTCAAACCACGAGAAAAAACCCGAAAAGTCTTTTCGCCTTTTTCTGTGCATACATGTAAGCCTTTCCAGCCTCTTAAGGTTCTTTGGCTTCTTGCACTCGCTTTTCATTACCACAATGCCCGAGCTCCCTCCAAAGCACAGAATGTCGTTGAACACGCCGGGCATCCGGAAGAAAGCCTCCACCACAGAAGAAAAACTGCCCAGACTTTTTCCGAGCTTTAGGCCTTTACAAACAGCTAGGCCTTTATCTCTCCTTTTTTCTGCGAGATAGCTGTGCAGGGAAAAAAAAACTTTTCCGCTCGAAGAGAAAGGAGAAGTTGGGAGTTGCGCAGTGCTGTCAAAGCATGCAAGGCTGAATTCGGGCGGCGAACACTGCTCAATAAAGCGCAAGGTCTGCAAGACTATCGGGCCTATCGGGCCTCCAAGCCTTTCCAAATATCGGTAGCGTTCTGGATTCTGCGCAATCTCGCACAGCGCAGCCTTCTTGGCTTCAACGCCTGGCCCCAGATTAGAGAGAAACTTCATAAAGCCTATGTGCGCAGACTGCCGAAAGGCCTCTCGGATGCGCTTTCCGATAGACAGCGCTTGTTTATGCGCAAGCGCGCCGCTGCCTGCGCTGCCTACACCCCCAGGGCCACTATCGGGCTGGGCGCATCCGTTATGCGGCACGCCCTCCCTGCCGTGCCCGCAAACGCTGGCAGAGGCAAGCGCCCATCCAGAAGCACCCAGCACAATCGCAGCAGCGCATGCAACAACACGCCAGCGCGTTTTCCTCGCTCCAAAATCTAGAGCTTTACTCATCATTTCCAAGGATATTTTTAAATACTTATATGCTGCCAAAGAACATCATGATTTAATGTATGGCTGGGAAATCATAGAGATGGATTTGCGGGCATGGGCGCTAGCTTCGGCTTGCGCATGCAGACACGCGCCCGCGTGCTGCCAAAGATCCAGCGCGGAAGGCCTGCCAGAGCTTCAAGAGCCTGCATTCCATACCAAAGAAGAAAACACCATGCTAGCTGCAGACATGTGAAATCGGAGGAGTTTATTTGTTTGGGCCAGGCGTCTGCACACAGCAATTCTGCCTGGGCTTGAGCCATTGCAGCCTTTCCCATAACAGGGCCTGGCCGTCACACGCATGTTTATGTTTTATAAAACTGCCATAAATAAATAGAAGGCCATTTTTCTGGTGTGCACTGACTTCCCAGATGCTTTCCCAAGCTGAGGATTCTTATTGCCCTCAAAGCGGTGCATCACAACTTACATCGCAGCTGTCTCTGCAAACCATAGCCCCATAGGACAGTGAAGTCTGCCACAGCCCGAAAACATATTATGTCAAAAGGATGCGCAAACGCTCAAAATGCCTTCTGTGGGCCCAGCGCAACGCTCTGAAAACACACGCCCGCATTGTTTGGCAGACTGTGTTTGTGTTGGAAACCGGCATATAGCATAGCAGCGATAGATTGTGTGCACAAGCATCTAAGCATGCGGAAGCTTAACAAGAAAGAACATGTGCACGGCTGCCTCCCGTGCCAAAACTTCTGTTTTACACAGGCATGGCGCGTGCTTGGCCAGCCCATCTGAACTGCACACACTGGGCGCCCGTCCTTCCCACGGCTTTCTGGCACGATGATGGCGTGTCTTCCTCTTCAGATATACGCTGCATGCATATTCGCATACAGGGATGCACTCTTTTCTTTTGCTCTAAGCCTCTCCAGCCACCAGTTTCTGCTTGGGGCTTTCGCCCAGGCAATGGGCCTAATCGGCATGCAAAAGCCGCGTGCAGCGCCCTTCCTAGGCAGCTGCAGGAATTTCTGCATGTGTTTTTTGTTTTGTTTGCATTTTAAAACTAAAACTAAAGCTTTTGCAAGCGCCCCGAATAGCCCGAACAAGCGGCGCGATCACCCTGATTTTTCAATGTCTGATTGATGCCCCAAGGAGGAGTGGCCAAGTCGGCAGCATGCCCATGTAGGTTTTTATTTTAAAATATAGATATTTCTGACCGATTTTAAACAAAGAAAATGTCGCAGAGAGATTTGTCCAGCAGTCCAGATGGAAATAAAAGCAGAGAAAGGAAAAAAGGCTCTCCACATGTAGACCAAGAAGACGCCTGTGCGGCAGATGGGCAGCATGCTCCAAGTGCCAGAGAGCACGCCCTTTTGCACAAGACGGATGGCGGGCAAGACATAAAAGGCTTGAAACTCCTTCTGGGAGACGATGTGCAGCTGGCGTATCTAGAAGCGGTGCAGCAGCAGATGACGCAGCAGTGCGACTATCTGAGCGGCGCGGGCGCGGCTCTGCAGGCTTTGGAGCGCATTCTGGCGGGGAGCAACAGAGGCCGCGAGCTGAAGCCAGGCCCAAGGGTGTACTGCCTTGCGCAGGGAGTCCCTGGTGAAGAAAGCCCCAAGCTGGAGGCGCTGCGCCGGCGGCTGGAAGAGCTAAGCAAGCGCCTGTGCGCAGAAGAGATGGAAAACCAAGAAAGTGCGTGGGCTGATGTGAAAAAAGACATTCGCAAGTGCTTTAAGATGTGCACAGAAGGAGACGCATATAGGTACCCATCCAAGGATTACAGGCCCTCGCACTGGGAGGCCTGGGTCACAAAAGTGATATTTGATATCGTTTGCGGAAACACAACGTTGCACGAGCTCCAGAGTGAAATTGCAAGTCGCCCGAGCGTGTACCCGCTGCGCTGGAACACTCTGCCTTTTGAGAAGCCGCTGGCCCAGGTGGCAGCAAGCCTGTGGAACCTGCTCCAAGCAAGCAAGGGCATTCCTCAGTGCACCGAGAGCGGCAGGCCTAAGCTCGGTGCGCGCAGGCCCACCTGGAAAAAAGAGCTGGCTTCGCGATGCACGGAAAATGAGCACACCCAAGAGATGTGCTGCTTGGTCCGCGCACAGAAAACCCGGCAGGCAAACGCCATAGGGCTTCTGCAAGAGCGCGAAAAGTCGCACCTGTCTGCGCGCGAGATCCAGGAGATCCTGCGCGAAGTGTCCACGGTGCAGAGGACAGGGAGCATCCTTCCCGTCGCTCTTGAAACAACCCCTGGCATGGTGGCACACGAAGCCCGGTACGTCCCAAAAGAAAGGCTTGCTGTCGCATGCAAGAGAGTGCGCGAGCTGGTGCAGCAGGGATTTGTAGTAAAGAGCACGGAAAGCGAGTGGCTGAACCCAATACACCTAGTCAAGAAGAGCAGCGACGAGTGGATCCTCTGCCTCGACCTAAGAGAGCTGAACCTGCTGGTGGCGCAGGACACGTATCCGCTCCCAAACGTGACCACGGTCACAGACGACTTGCTCGGCACACAGTACTTTACGAAAATCAGCATCAAGGACGGGTTTCTCCGGGTGCCGCTGGCAGAGAAAGCCCAGGCCAAGACCACATTCAAGCTGGGCAAGACGTTCTACAGGTTCACAGGCCTTCCCATGGGGTACCGGAATGCGCCAAACATCTTCCAAAGAGTGATGGAGAGCATTCTGCACGAGGAAGCAGATATCTGCATCGTCTACATAGAAGACATTCTTATTTTCTCGATGGACCTCGAAAGCCACCGGGAGCACATAAAAGCAGTGCTGGAAAAGCTCAAGAAGTACGGCATGGAGGTCAACTGGGAGAAAGCGCTTATAGCGCGAGCACAAATCGAGTTTTTGGGATACTACATTGGACACGACGAGATATGCCCGCTGCCGTCTAGGGTGCAGGCTGTGCTGGATTCCCCCGAGCCAACGGACATGAAGACGCTGAGGCGGCTTATTGGGCTGCTGGGGTGCGACAGAAGATTTCTGCGCAACATATCGGAGACGCTGAAGCCGCTGCATGTGCTCATGAAACAAGACGGCGCGTGGCACTGGACAGATATACACCAGACAGCATTTGAGGAGGCCAAGAAAAAGCTGGCGCGCGCCCCAAAGCTGATCATCCCGAACTACAGGAAGCGCTTCACATTAGAAGTTGAGTCCTCAGACGTTGGAATAGGAGCCATGCTGCGGCAGAACGAGGGCATCGTGGGGTTCTACTCAGGAAACCTCACTGAAGCAGAGAGAAAATACGCCCCTGACGAGAGACAGCTGTACGCGATTGCGTGGGCCTTTGAGAAGTGCAAGTACTATCTGCTGGGCGTTGAGTTTGATTTGGTGGCCAGCCAGCAGGCGGTGGCGCTCTGCCAAAAGAAGCCTGGGCTTGAAGACACACAGCTCCGCGAGTGGCGCCGTGTGCTGTCTGAGTACAACTACGTGCTCAAAAATAGGTGATAGGGCGGCGTGCAGCGGCATGCCCACAAAAAAGAGCCAATAAACATCTACTCTGTCTAGAAGCTTCTTTTCGCACTGCATGCTGGCAGCCCACTTTGTCTTTTTGTGTTTGCGACAGCTGCAAAAGCAAGCCACAGCAGTGCATGACACGTCCATATCCTCTAGAAAAACTGCGTACAATGCTTTATTTTCCTGCACATAATAGATGCGCCCACCAGATTCGCATAGAGGGCCTGGGCCGTGTGCTAGGCGCGCATTCCGCGCAAGGAGCGAAGCACGCCTTGCAGCATTTTAAACTTTTCTTTTCCGCAGTCCTCCACCAGCGCAGCCTGCAGATCGCTGTCTTGTATGGACTCTGCTGCTCTGTTCAGGCTGTCCAGGCCCCAAAGGTCCGTGCTGTGTGTGTAGCGCGCGAAATAAGACAGCTCGGAAATTCGGTACACCTGAAGAATAGCCTCGCGATGGCTTGCCAGGCCCATGGGAAGAAGGTTCAATAGACATGCAAAGCCCAGCGCCCTGACCAAGTATTGCGCTGCCTTCTGGTGCTCCCCCGCGTGCTTTGCAAAAATAAGCATGGAAATCTCGTGCAAAGTCTCCACAGGGTCCTCCGCAAGCAGATAGTAAAAAAGCTTTTTTGCGTGTGCGTATCCGCTCAGAATGCGGCACTCAAACAGCGGCCTCTGTCCCTGCGCTGCGCACACCCGAAAGTGCTCCATAATCAGGCGCCGTGTGTGCACGCGCGCCTCCTCGGGGGAGTACAGGCTCTCATACGTTGGAAAGCTCAGCGGGTTTAAAAAGCATGCGTGCCGCTTCAAAGACAGCCCAACCATTGGATAGTGGGCTTTCAGTGCTCCCGTGAACACGGGCACAGTGAGCATCTTTTCCTGCGTATACCAGCCAACAAGATCCGCGCTTCCTATCACGTTTGCGGTCAGCCGCACTATTGGATGGGCCCGGCTCAACGCGACCCCGTTTGCGTGCGCATACAGCAGCAGCGCAGACACAAGCTCCTCCTTCAAAGCCGGGCCCAGATGCGGCACGGCCAGGAACATGCGATTGGGCTCCTCTGCGCTGCACTCCGCAGCCTCTCTGGCCGCATCTCGCAGCCTCTGGGCCACTGCGCCAAAAAGGTTTTTGGGCCTGCATCGCAAGGCCATCCGGCACATGCACTCAGCAAACACAAAGCTAGGAAAGAACCCGTGCTGCCGGTACTGGGCGGCCATGGCCTCCAGGGCCCTGTCCCCATCCTCGGAAAGGCACCTGCTTGGCAGCTCCAGCTCGCACACCAACTGCGGCTTTCCAAAAGTTAGCGTCAGCGCTTGCTTTCGCCCGCTATCTGTATGCCTGTGCGCTATTTCCAGCACATATCCATCACGGCCTGAATCGCTGGAGCACTTCACAACGGAAGCGCTCATCTGCACGTCCGCAGCTAGCGAAATCAAAATAGCACAAATGGCCTGCATTTCTTCTTCGCCAAACCTTAGGGTGGGCGGGATTCTCGGGTTCTGGCCAGCCACGGACTCATGCATCATTCTGCTCAGTGTCACCGCATCAGCCTGCGCCTGCTCAATCGTTTCGGCAAGCATGTACGCCCAGCCTGCCGCATCCAGCTCCCCCAGAGCATGCTCAAGCTGCAGGCCTGTCTGCTCGCGCTGGCTCATGTGCGCCCACTCGCATGGCTCAAAAGGCCCGAAAAAAGAGCCCTTGTTCACATGTGCGTCTATTTTCTGAAAAACCCTTCTGGCCTGCGCCTTCTGCTCTTCATTACCGTGCAGCAGGCTTTGCAAGCGGTATGCCCCAGCGCCCGGCATGTACGCCAAGCACAGAATGAGCACGCACAGCCCTCTATTTATACCGAGAACAACATCTTTCTGCCTGTTCGGCGGACTGCATGCGTGCGGGAGATCTGCTCCTTTAGGCTGTGCCAGCGCCGTTTGCAGCTCAACGAACACCCCCAAGCACCTCAGACGCTCCATCTCTGCTTGTGCACTCAAAAACGGATTCAGATACTTTTCAGCCTCGGGCAGCCGGCTCGCAGGCACAAACAGCCGGCTGACCACGCTGTTCGCGTCTTTTAAGCTTTCCGCCAGGCCCATGCCCTCCACAAGCTTGAACGCACGCCTCATCACAGACATAAGCTCCTCGGCGTTTTTCACGTACTCGCCTACATACGTGAGAATCAGAAGCTGCGGGCTCTCGAGAAAGCCTCCCTTTTTAAACTCTTCGTATGTGCTTGGCAGCATGTGTGTGCCTCTGCACCGCTTGAAGAAGTTTACTACATGCCACGTCTCGGATGGCTGCCTTTCTCCACCCTCCATGGCTGGCACGCACACATCCACCAGCACGTCCTCGCTGTCTTTTCTTTTTTTTAGAATCACTCTATTCCCAGCGGTCTCAATCGGCGCGTCCACGTCCTCGCTCAGCAGGACCAGCGCAGCCAGCACGTAGTGCGCCTCTTTTTTTGTTCGGCAGCTCTCCCGAAGGAATTCTGTAAACGAGCACGGTCGTCCGGTTTCAACCGTCAGCTGCTCATCTGCGGTCAGCCCAAACATATGCACCAGCGCCCAGTGGAACGCCACGGTGTGCCTATGATCGTGTCCGGACGCTACAGCGTCGAAGTAAAGATGCGGCGCGTCCTTGGACGGCTCTTTGGACTGCATGTAGACTTCTTCCTCAAAGCTCTGCCCGATTTTCATTTCACTCTTTCTCTGCACCAGACTAAAGTGCGTGTTTAGCCCGGAGGAAAAGGCCCGCATGCTGCGCACATACCCCAGCCAACCAATCCGGGATATGCACACAGGATGCCCTGCCCACTCTGGGCTCACGTGCACGTCTGTCTTGCCCACACGCCCAACCACAGCCCCCACGCATCCCAGCATGTCGGCGGGTGTCATTTCTATGCACTCTGCGGGGCCCAGCCCTGCAAGCAACACTCCTAGTATCAAGAAGCATAATCTCATGCCTAGACGAAAAAAAGCATTTATATTCAAAAACATTCCAAAAAACAGCAGCAATACAGCCCTTTAATCACAAAGTCGCACAAACACGCTGGGCCTGGGCGCGTTAATTTAATTTTTGTGCCTATAAACAGCTTCTGCGCACGCGCGGCCTTTCAGCACGCTTACGCTTTTTGGCCCGCTGAACTTTGTGCCCATACACGCAAGCGCATTTTTCAGCAGGCCGCGCTGCTTCCTAACTCCAAATACATAGCTGTAGGCATCTTGCTGCTTCTCCAAGGCCTTTGCAGACTGGGCACATGCCCAGCTACACAGGAGAAAAACTGCAGAATTATATTTGAAGCTGTGCTAACTCAGCCGATGTCTATCTCTTGAGCAGCGGCATCTGAAACCATCTCCCTGGATGGAGCAGGCCCTTTTCTATACGCAGCATAGTCTTCGCCGTTGGGCATCCAGCACAAAAAGACTTGAAAGGCTCTTTATTTATATATGCGCCTATGCCTACCCCATCAAGGCCTGCAAAATTCTGCCACGCAAGCCGAGGTGGGCGCACTGCAGAGACCCTTGGGGGGTCAGGTAGGCATTGCCTGCCGCATCCCTCGACACACGCCAAAACAAATTCTTAAGCGCCTTTGCCCCATGCATATCATACATTTCCTGCAGTTTCATGGAGTAGCTGGGGTCGTACTGTTTTGTTCCCGTTTCTGGAGCATGCAACTCGTATGTCTTTTCCGTGTAAAACAGAACAGACGCGGGGCTGGCCGTCCCCCCATCTGCCACCCCGCCCGCCCTCTTTTCCAGCAAGTTATATGTGGATGCGGCAATAAAAACTGTGTGGCACTCTTCTTTCTCAATGCTTCGAGATTTGTATGTGATTGTGCAGCAGCCCTCTGGGCCGGGGCTGCTGGAAGACGTAGCAGAGAAGCCCGCATAGCACATGTCTAGGCCCAGAGTGTCTGTTTGGTCTAGACAAATCTCAGTCCATGGATAGTAGTTCTGAAGCTTGCGATTTCTTAGGAAAAACACATGCGGGACTTCGTTTGACAAGGTGTGCACACTTTCGACAACTTTATGCCCGCACGCGCCGCCTCTCTTCTCATACATCTCTTGGGCGTTCATGAATATTGACTCATACATTAAATTGCTGAGAAACAGCGGAAGATATATAGCCTCCCGGCCGGAGGCGGAGACTTTCGTTTCAGACGGTCTTAACTCAACAACTCTAAGATTTGGGTCTGCGGCCGTGCTTTCCGGTATGTAGTAGAAGACAAGAATCTCGGAGCTGCTGCTGTCTATGCCAGCATACGCTGTGCTTTCTGGATCCCTGCAGGTTAGCGCGCGCGTGCTGAGGCTGAGCGAAAAAACGTGTATTTGGTCCTTCGGCTTTCCGTGCAGGTCTGCAATGTACTGTACTATCTCGGCGCAGTACATTTTGAGCGGGCTCTGCGGGATCAGAACAGGGCGCCGCGCCTGCTCCTCGCCGTCCACATAGTACACGCTCTGCAGAAAAAGCGCGGTGTGCCCAGATGCGCCCACACGCATATCGGCTTGCCCTTGTTCTATCTGCACATATCGCATTTCGCCGGCTTTTCTGTCCTCTTGAAATGTGCTTGTGCATACGCTTTTCGGGAGCAGAAGGCGCTTTCCTTCAATCTGCAGCTCTTCTGCCACTTCAGGGCACCCTGCATAGAACATCTGCAGAACCCGAAACATCGAAATGTATCCCGAATTAGCAGGCCCCAACCCAATGCCCTGGGCCCCAGCATCCCAGATGCATGCAACTTTGTCTATATGCTCCTTCAGCTCTTCTAGTTTTTTCTTGAATTGTATCGCGGCTTTTTCACAGCCCGACTCTTTCTGCAAAGCCACAACGCCTGCAGCCACGCTTGACAAACACTCCAAGCAAGGGTAAAGGCCCGAAACGGCACTTAGTGCCTTTTGCCCAGGCCGTGCGCATTCGCTTAGATTTTTCTTGCTGGCAGGAGCCTCAACCCCGCTTTGTATGCGCTCAAAAACCTTGTTCTGGCCCAGGCGCAGCACGTCTCTGAACACCTCGGGCACTTTGAATAAACACTGCAGCGCCAGAGAAAAGCTGCGCATTTTTTCGTCCAGCTCTAGGCACTCCCAAGCCGCCAGCCCTCTGACCCTTTCTTCTTCAAGAAAGTAGCTGTCCAAAGACAAAAAAACCTTCCCGCTTGGCGAAAAAGGAGAGGTTAGGCATCCGGCAGCAAAGTCAAAGCATTCAAGATCGAACTCAGGCGGCGAGTGCTCTTCGATAAAGCACAGCATCTGCGAAACCAGGGGGCGATACTTTACTTTGAATTCGTCCAAAAAATTGTACCACTCGGGGTGGTCCGCTATGTCACGCAGTGCCTCTTTCTTGGCGTTGACTCCTTCTCCTAACCCAAAAACAAAGCTCATAAAATCTGTTTTTGACCCCCAAAAGTTCTTCTGGATGTAAGTATGGCGATCTTTGTTTTTTTTCAACATATAGAATTCGCTTTCCAGTATGGGTGCTTTTTCAGCTGTTGAGCACAGGCCTTTTTCAGATTGGTAGAGGGGCTTTATGCAGCACTCGGCACCCTTGGGCGGGGCCGTCTCTTCCATGAAAGCGCTGGGGAGAAGCTCTCCGCACGCGCGAGAGTCAGCGGGTGTCTTCTCAAGCTTGTGCTTGAGAAAATCATTGGAGCCGTAGTGGTCGCAGAAAAACGCAGTGTGCTGCAGATCCGAAACCACAGGAGCAGTATCTGCAGGCGGACAGGTGCTTTCAGCAGCAGCGGAAGGAGTTAAATACTCGCCAATGCATGGTGTTTTTTCTCTTTCTGTGGATGCTCCGCAGCCTTTCATTGCTTCTGCCTCTTCCAGACTGCAGCCAATGCCTGGCTCGCCCAAGCCAGAGGTTGACTCTTCTAGAAATCCACGCTCGCTTTCAGCAAGCGCACTTCTGCACGCCTTCACGCTGTGCGCACAGCCATTTTTCCCTTCAGCGCCGCTCTTTGGCTGCGCGGTGCCTTCAATAGAAATGTAGTTTCCGTCCTCTCTTTCAAAAACCAAAGTGGAAAACACATACCCAGCAAAGCATATGCCAATAAAAGCTGTGCAAACAAAAACCCCCAAACACAGTTCTCTGTCTCCAAATATTTTCAAGCACATATCCATATGTTTGCATTGCGCATTTTCAAGCACTTATATTGCAGCCCAAAATCATTTTGATTGGACATAATCATAGGATCGAGTCGACTAAAGTTGTAAAATCATTATGATTCCATAATAATATTAAAAAAACCTCGTGATCTGGCTGCAGCATGCCCTTGCAAAATAGAGTTGCTTTTCCGGGCAGAAAGAGCCTGGCCCACCGACTGCCAAGTTTCTCCTCCTGCCCACTCCGGCAAGAAGCCCGGCTCTCTGGGCGCGCTTGCTTCTTTCTGGCCATTTTTCTAGCGTTTAAAATCCTTTAAGCATGGATGGACTGCGTTCTCATCAAATAACAGATGACCATTTCTCGCTAACTTTAAACGCATGCGCTTGTCTGCATGCCATGCCGCGCCCACTCTGCAAACTTGTTTTTTACTAGAGATTTGAGCTAGGGATCCAGCAAAGAAGCGGCGCATATGCAACGCACACTCTGCTCAAAGCGCGCGCTTAAGAATTCCAAATCTGAACAAGAAGAAGAATTTCACATGCCGGAGGTTTTTGTTAATGGAGCTCCCCACAGGTGTTTTCCAGAAGCATGCTTTGGCTTTGTGTTTATTTATGCAGAGTCGAAACAAAAAGAACGCAGTATAACCGAAGCATGCTGCCTTAGTCTAGCCTTCAACGCACAAGACATGCCCGAAAGAGCGCCTCCTGAACACACGCTTCCGCTATGCATCTCTAACTGCCTTTGCCCGCAGGCCGGGGCGCAGAAAGCGCAATAACCAGCGCAGCGAAAGCCTTCTTGGAAAAAGCACGTGTACGACAACCAAAAGCCCGGCTAGAAAGTCCACGGGCCGCCCTCTACAATCCCGGCCAGGAGAAAAATCGGAGCTGGTTTCCAGATAGCTGCCGGGCTCCTCGACTGCGGCATGCTGCTCAAGCGAAAACGACGGGTCGATGTAGAACCAGTGTGGCAGGTTCTCTGCCGCTTCCAGACATGGCTCTGTGCCTGCACAGGCCCCCGGTCGCATGGCGCATGTGCTTGCGCCAGCCCACGCCATAATGCGGTTCTTTGCTTTCCTCAACATGCATCAAAAAGCATTTGCACATTTATAAAACAGACCGGCATCAAATCGATGCAGTTGCATGCCAGAGCCAAGAGCTTGCTTTGATCAGCTTAGAAATATTTCCATGGCACGCTGCTGCAGGAAGCGCAGCCAGAAAGTAAAAAGAGGCTTTCTGCACAGCTCGGATAAATTGAAAATAGTACACTTTCGTTTTTATATTCGGGTTTTCTTTTATTTTGGCCTTGGCCACAGACGCATGCCCAATGTGACTGCAGCTGGCCTAGGGCATAGAACGCCCAGGCAGAGCGGGCAGGCATGCACATGCATCGTGCAAAGCACCAAATCGCCGCTGGCCGGGTACACACACCTCCTGCTCTGCCGAATTTCATGCTTATCCAGACACACGTTTATGCAAAGCGTTTACACGGCCCAAGTCTAAGGCGCCCGGCTACATGCATTGTTTAAACATGCCGAAAATGCATTCAAACTTCTTTTCTTCGCCACGTGCGCATAGAAGACGTTTCAGCTTTTGCAAAATCAGCGTGATTTTTTGCCTGTTCCAAATATCGTTGTTTGCAAGCATTGGGTGGCTCCGCATATAGGATGCGCTTGGGTCAATTGTGTTGTATAGGTGCATGACTAACCTGTGGTGGTCCAGCTTTCTAAGAAGGGCTAGCCCAAACCAGATAAGGTTTAGGGTGTTGATCAGCAAAGCGGCTCTGCGCTCGCCCAGATCTCGCATCTCCTCTAAAAGCATGCGCGTGAGCGTCTCGGCCCCCTGGACTGTGTTGTCCGCAAATAAGCAGTCAAACATCTCGTAAAAATGCCTTGGGCAAGTTAGAAGCTCGCAGGAGGAAAGGCTCTCGCCTGTCTCCGCCCTGTACATTGCAAAATATCCTAAAAGCGCCGTCTTAAGCCCCGGGTACTCTGGGTATATGCTGCACCCTCTTTTTAGGGTTGTATATGCAGTCTTGAACCACCACACATAGATGTTCTTCGGGATGTAGAAGGCAGGATGCAGGCACCCCAGCTGCCCGGTGAACATCAGCGGGCAGAAAAAGTCGCACTGCATGCGGGGTTCATCAAGCGGAACACTTAGCACAATATTTGAAATGATGCGCGCAATCTTGTCATGCTTTGTCAGCTTTAGGTTTCTTTCTTTTGCCCAAAGGCATAGCATCGTAATAAAGTCTCTTTTCAGCTGGTTGCTCCAGTTAAAATAGGCCATGTGTATGCTGTTGTCTAAGCCGCTGCGGCTGTCCTGCAGGGCTTTTCGAACAGCCCCCAAAGCGCCGCCCGGCGCGTCAATTGGCAGGCTCTTTTTTATATGCATCGGCCCGCTGCCCGGAAGCTTCTGGCTTATGTAGTGGGCAAGCAGGCAGCTGGAAAAGCCCTGCTGGCTCCGGATGTGCTTCGTTAGATACGCCAGGTCTGCAGCCTCTGTTTGTGAAAAGGGGATGCTGACAGGCAGCAGATCGATTGCCACAAAGCCAGGTATAAAGTTCAGCCGCACCCCCTGTGCTTCTACACAGCCTTTATTCCCGTACCAAAGAGTAACGTACCCATACAGGTCGGGCGCTTCGTTCTGGGCAGACTTCACTGCAATGTCCTCCAGCCTGACCTCTAGGTGCTTGTTTGTCGAGACCAGCGCAAACAGCTCTTTTATATACTTCTCTAGCTGCATATAGTTTTTGTACAGTATGCCTGGGTACTTGTATATGTTTGTTATAAGCTCTTTTATCTGGGCAAACTCGGCAGACCCCCGGGTGCCAGTCAAATGCGCAATCACTGACAAGACATTCATTATTCCAGACGCCAGCTGGTTTCTGTTCTTTCTGTAGTAGCGGATTTCGGCGTATGGCAGGTCGGAAACCACCTGGTTCCAATGGTTGAACGTTCCTGTGGTGCAGCATTTCCTGGGACAAAATCCGTTGCCGCCTGTAAAAAACTTTTTTATGCCGTGAAAGGCAGCGTTTTCCTTTTCCCCCTGCAGCATTTCGCCCATGTCATATTGCATTGTCTTTGGGTTGTACAAAAAGCAGCAGAACAGCACCATAACAGCCGTCTCCACAGAGTTGACGAACTTTTCTGCAGAAAACTCTTGTGTGGCCCTGTTGTAGCAGCTCACGCTCATGTACGACGGCAGCAGCGCCTGGTCGGTAAATGGAAACCAACTCAGCCTTTTTAGGCCTTCGCGCACTATTTCAAAGGACTTCACCGCCTGCACTGTGCTGATTCTCTCCTCGGGCAGAGAAAACCACTGTTTCAGTATCTTTTCTGCCCGGGTATCCAGGCACGCTTTCAAGCGGCTAAGGATCTTGTGCACACACGTAACAAAGCCCAAGGCGACCTCCTTTCTGGAGATATAGTGCGATATGTATGCTAAAATAAAAACCTGAGGGCTGCACAAAAAATCGCCCTGCAGGTACATACCCATCGTTAAAGACATGTTCTTTCTGGTGCGGTACTTCGTGAAGAAGCATATGACTTGGGTCGGCTCCAATAAAAACCAGCTCGCCCCCTTAATCAGCGTCTCCCCAAAAAGCCTAATTTCGGTGCTGGCTCTGCAGTTTTCCTGGCCTGCGGGGTCCTGGTATATATGAATGGGCACGAAAACTCCGTAGCTCAGCAGCAAAAGAACGGCCAGGATCGAGTGTGCCTGCTCCTGCGTGCACACCTCGCGAAGAAAGTTCGTAAATGAGCCTTTCCTGTCGGTTTCAATGGAAAGCGTGTGCCCGTCCACAGACGGAAACATCCGTATGAGGTTTTCGTAGCAGTCCGCAGTATACTCTTCTATGCCTTGTTCGACTTGAGAGATGCTCGGGTCGTTTGGCATGCGCACTGCCGTGTCTTTTGACGCGTCTCTTTTGTATGCATATGTATGGTTGCCGTTTTGGTCGGGCGGGCCGCACTGCTCTAGAGCGCAGAAGCTGTGCACTGCATTCGAAAAAAACCGCATGTTTCTTAGAAACTGAAGCTCTGCGATTATGTTTCCCGACACTTGATTTATGGGGGCGTGCGGGCTTATTGTTATGCACGTGTTCGTTGTGTCTACAAAATCTTCCGTATACATGCTTATAAGGTCTTCAAGCGGAAGGCGCGCCCACAACAGCTGTGCAAAAAGCACGCCAAGGGCGAGAAACTTGGTCCACTCATAAAACAGTTGCAGAACTCTTCCGGTTATTCCACTTTTTTTCATATAGATAAACGCTAGTTTTTTATATTTATTTCTTCTAAGAAGACATCATGATGATTTCTTTTCATGCTTGACTGCTGAAAAGAAACAGTGCTTGGTGCGGGGCAGTTTTCGCCCACCCGAATAACCCGAATCGCATGTGCTCTTCGTGCTTTATCCGCCGTCTGCAAAGAGCGGAAAAGCGCCAAAGGCTGATGTGCCAGAGGGCTTGCTTGCGTGCGACCCAAGCCACTCAGCTGCTTGTCCTGGACAGCGTCCGCGTGCCTGCTGCTGCATGCATGCTTGGTTGCTCTGTAGCCTGCCAAGTTGAAAGGCGCCGCCCTGCTTCTTGCCCAAAACAAAAAGTGCAGCACTCTGTGTTCCCACGCGGTCTCCCATCGCAGTACTATCAAAGCTGTCACGCGCTTAACTTCAGAGATCGAACGGGTTCTGGTGTGAACGCGAGCATATGGCCGCACGTCTTTTGTCTGTGCTCCGGGCCCGTATGCTCTGGTTTTGTTGTGGCTCTTGGCCTCCTTGCAGGCAGGCACAGCGACTGCAAAGCCTTCTGAGCACAGAACCAGCGCGGTGGCTTATACGCGATGAAGGGGCGTGCTGGGCACTAAGCATGTGGGCTCTGGCAGGCTTAGCACGGCAGGAAGCGCTGCATTCTCGCCCTCTTTACTGCTCTTGCCTTGTAGTGGAATGCCACACAGCGCCATATGCTTAGTGCCCAGACCAAGAGATTGGCGCGCCGCCAGCCGGTGCAGCCTAGTCTTCTCCGTAGCTTTGCGCAGTCTGCGGGCTCGCTTCTCGACTCTACAGAGAAGTTCCCGTGCGTTTTTTTTCTTTTACAAAGCCTCTAGCTTTGGGGGCTTAAGTAAAGTTTGCACGCTTTTCCAACGCGCCAAGGGGCTGCAAATTTTCTCTGGAAAAGCGCAAACACGCAGCAGGCGCGCGCGGAGAGGCGCCCAGCAAGGAAGAGCACGCGGAAGGCTCTGCGTTTTTGCGGCCCAAGCCCGCAGTCTGCACACATACAAAGAGAACGCCCAAAATATTTTTGCAAAATGCAGCTAGAGGACAGAAAAGAAAACCGGCCGAGCGCAAGCGCAGAAGAAAAGACAAAAAAGAAAGACTTTGGGCTTCCTGCAGGTATTGTGCAGCAGTTTGAGGCACGCGGCATTGGGCGCGCGGAGCTTGCGAACATGGAGATAGACGAGATTCTTGCGCAGATGAAGCCGCTGGAGGGCAAGGCGCTGAACAAGGCCATACAGACGATTCTAAAGACCACGCACAAGATCGAGCAGCTAAGAAGCCGGCTGCAGATGGTCACCGGATGGGCAG